GAGAAAAACTGACCGATTCCAACATGGAATTCACACCGCCATGTGTGATGAACAGTGAAAGTCGCTGATCAGCTGAAATCGAAAAAAATAAAAGTTCTGGAAAAGGCCAATAAATGAGTAAATAAAATAATAAATTAATAAGTAAAAAGCAACATAGTAGTGATAGCTATACGTGTAACAAGAACTTATCGTAGAAACTAGCTTCCAGTTATTGTCACTGGACCTAGCTTCTCGACCAGAGTAAGGTCAAAACTTGTGTACTCATGAGCCATCTACCCATAGTTGGCAGCAATCTCAAATCACTTTAGATATCGAAAACATCCGTTGCTTTGTACGGGGTGGCGGTACTGCTCCCCGAATCCCCACGACAAGCGGCAGTGGTCCCGCCCCGGCTACCACATCCTTTCACTTAGAAATCGAACCTTCCCCTTCATAGAACACAACTGTGCGCAATCAAATCGGACCCGAGTGCCATTTTCGGGACTAAGTACCCATATTCATATCAGAGAAAGAGTTTTTAAGTTCTCACGGGTAGTTCTGTGGTCAAGGTATCAATATTTGCGTCGTGCGTGGTCCAAGAATAATAGATATTGTTATGGAATCCTATCGGTTAAACCCGAGGCTACTTCATTTACATTAATCACCTATAGGTAGACGAGGCGAAGGAGTAATTATTGCTTCCTAGACATAAGCTGGGGATTTGTAACAGCTCTACTCTCTCAGAAAAAAGTAACATATATTAGTTTTGGTAACAAGAAGAATAGTTTCCAAACTTCCGTCACTTACCGAGCAGATCGGTCTGTGGTACCCATTTCATTGTATAAATATTAGGAGCGTTTTTGAACAGGCTATGATCAGACTCTTCATATTTCCAGATGAAGGTGATGTTTGGAAGTGAAGTGAATGTTTCGATAAAAACTGAAAACGATGAAGGGTAAACCACCACCTCACCATTGAAATGAGAAAAGCACTAGGGTGATTACAGTAAAGTTATCAGCAAAAATCTTGTGAACAAACCTTTTTTCAGCTGGTCAGGCATTTCCCTGGATTGTGCAAGAGAGCCCATGCAGAACAAAATAGTAGCGGGTCTTTTATTCAGAAGATCGTCCAGCTCCTTAATAAATCTAATTGTTCTGTTATTGTTGTTATTCAAACTCTCACTCATGGTCAGCTTTCAAGAGCCACAGCTAGCCCTTCGGGTCTAGGTTTGAACCCCAAGTTGGACTCTTAAAATTTTTAGGAGGGTGTGATTACATAGTGAAGAGGCAATCTGTGCCCGTAGCGTCTATCTGAATCGTTTCGCGCATTCGTTTCGAGGTCAGATGAAAACATTTACAGTGTCGGTGGGAAAGAAAACCCTCTTACTGACTTACAAATCCATCCTCTTCCTTCGGAATGTAACAGTTAATGTACCATGTGAATGCCATCCAGTAAAGAAGCCGCATTGGTACATATGAGTGTGCGACAACGCACGGGTGTATACCCACATTCCAATTATGATTGTTTCACTCTCGGACAAGCCTTTTATCCTTAACCCAGGAGGTCCGGTCCCAGAAGTTTGAGAGGTTCCGCTATTCAGAGTGAGAGGCTCGACCTTTCCAGCTTGATTTCAGCCAAGATACTTTACTTATCCTCCCCTAACTTTCTAAACTGTCCTTGTTTGTTATTTTCATTAATATGTTGACTTTGTATTGAAGCACCTTATAGGGAATCACTTTCGTTCACTTTGGATGCAAAGGCAAAGTTACTGGGCAAACATCCTTGCAACAGTTCTGCACTACCGTACTCCTCGCTTTCCCGCGAACTTGCCAGAACACGGCTCCCGAGTGATACGGTAGAGCTGTGCCTTCGCAAGAGGGTAAGACTGCAAAGAAGTGACCATGGCATCGCGGTCAGCTCAGCTACTGCTCAATGTAGCAGCGATACAAAAAGTGGTCACAGTTTTTTGTAGAAACGAGGTTGTTGAAGGTGATGGTCATCGCAGCCGATTTTTGAGCGGGTATCAAATGGCATTTTCTTATACCGTCTCAGAATCATGTCACAGAGTTTGACGCTGGAACCCTCCCCCAAAGACTCTTCAGATGTTCGTGGGAGTTCAAGAAGTAAACATGAATAAAAAAAAAAGAACATTCGATTATAAATGACAGTTTACTTACCTTACTCAAAGGTTGTGGATCGTTTATAGCGAATCCTCCGACATACCGTATCATATTCGTAGTAGGATGAGTGAATTCAGCGAATTCATGTACATGTGTTGCAATCAACGCCGTTTGTTCCTACAAAAAGCTAAATAATAAAGAAAGGATGCCGAAGTACCGTAGTGAAAATACCGTAGTCTCACGTAGATGTTGTCACGTATTGAAGGTAATCCAGGATACTTTGCATTGAACATACGCCAAAATCGTCCATCCAAATACCATTTAAAGACTTCAAAGAACAAATGAAGATTGAGATTTGTCAGTTTTTCCATAAATGTTAGTTCATCCGAGAAGGGTGTCAGCCCGGCTGAAACATGAACTTGCTAGAAATGTTTACAGAAGATAAATATTTTCGTCCTTTTAGGAAACTGGATTAATAAATACTCTCCACCCAAAGGGATTTCCTTTAACTTCCTAAGAGCTGAGCAAACCTTACCACAGCAATTCTGGGTATTTTAAAAATGGAAGAAAAACTCTTCTGGAACTAGTTCAGCAAGCTTTGACAGAAAAAGATCTCTGCGAAATTTTGTCTCAAGCTTGGAGAACACGCTAACCCTTTGGGAAAGGTTTTCTCTTCAAATGATGAGGCCACTGCCTCTTAGCTCGAATGGGATACCTGCTTACGGTGCTTTTAACTACGAAATACAGAAAAAGAGTAAAAATCGAAAATTTTATAAAATTGAATCCAAAACAATTACTTGGCATAAAACTTGGCATTGGCAATAATCCTGCAATATCATA